TAATTTTTATTCTAGATAAAGGCACAGGACAATTAAAGTGTCTGACAGGTGGGATCTCTTCTACTGGTAAAGTTACCTTTAGAAACTTTTAAATATCAATGTGTGTATCTGATTGACAGTCAAAAAGCTGGTTTTCTTAAAGACAAATTCTGAATGAGTACCTACTATTCCTTAACTTATTCACAGTAATATTTCAACAAACATTTACTCAGTGCTTGTTATGTAGCAAGAAATTAAGATTTTCCAACCAGAGAAAAGTAGTTGATTGTCCTTTAAGCCAACAATTCAAAGCCATGCTCCAAAAGAGAAGCAGGTCTCTCTGAGCTGCTTTGTGAAAAACCCACGCTAACCTTATCACTTTGATGACGAGTCCTTTGCAAAGTATAGTGTTAATGTTGGAGAGAGTACGCTTGAGTATGTCCCAATTTAAATGAAAGGTAATTGGTTAAAGGGATAAAAAAAAATTCACAGGGCAAGATTTTACTGCCAGGGAGATTTTTGTAACACATGTTCACGATGCTCAGTGATCCTGTTCTGAAATGTGGATATCCAATATGTCACCAAATCTGCTCCACAGTGAAGAGACAGTGCCTTCTGCCAGTAAGAGTTGAACTGACACCTGCTTACAACATGATCTTTAACAGTCTAAAACAGTTTAAGGTTAGAACTTGTGATTGTGACTATGTGTTTCTTTATTAGAAGACTTGGAACTAATTTAACTGGCTCCTTTTTATGTTATTATAGTGATGGAAAATGTTTCAGTCTAAAAGAAATTTACAAACATATATTTAAATCTAATATGTTGTTGAGAAATGTTTCTCTAAGTACTTACAAGGGTTACAATTCTTGATGTGTGCCTTTTAAAAACAAGTCAAAAAAAAAAAAAACCAAACACAACAAAAAAAACCAAGCAAAGCAACTTTAAACATGTGTGGGTCATTACAGAGAAATGTACTAGAAAGACTAAGTGTCAGACATGTATTCTGTCCGCCTTGGCCCTAACCTGACATTCAGTTTCTTCATGTATGAAAAGAAGAGGGTTAGATTAGGACTTTGTTTTTGAAGTGCTGGATTTATACCAACAGAGGTGTTCTAGATGACTAAATGATACTCAAACAAGACATTAACCAATACTAGAACAGATGGAGAGAGAGTTATTCCCTTTAATTCTCTTCCAATTCTTGATTATTATAAGAAAAATGTCTCAGGCTAGTCCTATCCTGTTTTTATCTCCTAACAAACACCTGCTCTTCCCCTGTTTTTAAAAAAAGAGGGAGGAGAATCTCAGCTCAGAGCTTTCTGCAGGCAACAGCTTGTGGCTAGAATTCAATACCAGTGTTTCAATTGTCGACTGATGTTCCCTTTACCTCACTCTCCTTGCTGGGAGTGATATATTTTTAAATCCACTTATGATAGGGATTTATCATAAGCTTTCTTTTCAAATTTAGGTAAGTCATAGCAGAGCTGGCACATGAAGTTCGGGGACACCGGAGCAGAAGCCTCCAGCAACTCGTGAGGGCAGCACGGCCCTGAGCCCTACTAGCCTGGTTGAACTGCCTGAAAGGTAGGAGAACTGGTACAGAAAGCCTACGTAAGCTGCAGCTGCCAGAATAAAAGGTAACATGCAGTTGTGTTTTTCACTTCTTCCCCCCACCCGCCCTCACCCCCAAAAAAGAAGAATAAGAAACATATGTTGATTTCTTCCTTGTGAACTTCACTTATCACAGGAAAATATCATGATTTTGGAACACATTTCCATAGCAGCAATCAGACTACTAAAATTCACAAATAAAGGATCCGCTTGGGTGCATGCAGCCAGTAGAAAATTCTGCGAATGTTGAGAGGAGCGGCTCACACAACTTACTTCCGAGCTCTATTTTCATTTTGTTGAAATAAAAAGACAAAACAAAAGAAAAGAAACTGTAAAATATTCTGGAACAAAATAACACAGAGTGGTGTTCATTCATGCACAGGGGGCTCGATTCATTAGCTGGAAGGTCCTGTTAAGATTCTGCAGGATTTTGGCATATCGATCAGAAAGAAATGCTATTCCATTATGTTATCATCCTTCTGCATCGCTACTCTACTTCCCCACCTGAAAGCACATAGCTTCCTCCAGAACTAGAGTTCGGAAGGAAGAAGTTGTGTAAAGTCATCTTGGCCTCTTTGAAACATGATGTTCAAGTAAACAATAGGAGACATTTTTGCCTAGTATCAAAAGATAATATTCTAAACAATAGGATTATAATTTTTGGAGGGGGGTACGTCTTTTCCAAGTTGGTCTTTTGAGAAGCCGGGGCTATTGAAGAGCCTGGTCTTCTGACAGGGGGTTAACCTAACACTCTCTGTTATAGACATCACATTTATTGGATTTCTTGGCTGTGAGACAAGTTCATGTTAATTGATGGGTCTCTAGCTGAGACCGAAGAATGAGAAACTGTAAAGTTGATACCAGAAAAAGTGGTAAAAGTTACAGAAACAGAATGCTTCATGGCACTAAGTGACGATCCCCAAAGACAGCTACGTTACTGAAGAGAGGACACAGGCCTGCAGAGTTAGGCATCCAACAGAGACTAGCAAGGTCATGTGTCCGGGAGAGAGGCTGGGAAAAGAGAAGGAGAGTTGAGATAGAGGAGGCTGGTAGAAGGGGGAGAGAGCTGCTGCAAAAGCTCTCTGGACAAATCAGAGGAGAGCAGAGGCCAGGAGAGCTCTAGCAAGTCAGCTGGTACATTTTCCCTCAAGTGGCAAGGTCCGATTTCACCTGGTGCTGCCTGACAAGGCTGGGGCAGTAAAGGCAGTAAAGGCCTTGCCCGTAGGAATCGAGCCCTGTGTGCTTTCATGTATGGCTTCACTCATTAAGTTCAGTGAAAGATAATTATGCATAATTAGCATAACCTATCCACACCCAGCCCATCTACTTTTCACAAAGTATAAGTACCCTCCCACCTCAAGGAAACCCAACAGCCCCAAGACTAATTTATAAAACAATTCAGAACATTTTTGCGTTGCTTAAAGCTCATCTACTTTAGAAGTACACAAGGCTACAGAAGAAACAATGAGAAATGTCTGAAAGAAGCAGAAGAATCACATGTGGTTTCCTCTGTTACTCTACCCAAAAACAGCACGCTGAACAACCCATGTAACCTACACCACGAAACCCTTCAAATCATGTCAGTACAGCTTGTAGCAATATGCCAATGGCCTAGGGACAGTTTTTACACTGAGTTTCACCAAAGATTTTTTGCCTAATTTTTTTTTTTTTTTTTTTTTTCGGTATGCGGGCCTCTCACTGTTGTGGCCTCTCCCGTTGTGGAGCACAGGCTCCGGACGCCCAGGCTCAGTGGCCATGGCTCACGGGCCCAGCCACTCTGCGGCATGTGGGATCTTCCCGGAGCGGGGCACGGACCCGTGTCCCCTGCGTCGGCAGGCAGACTCTCAACCACTGCGCCACCAGGGAAGCCCCTGCCTAACATTTTATTATAAGAATGTTCAAACCTAAAGCAAAGTTGAAAAAGTTTTATAATGACCACCCATAAATTGTCCCCCAGGGTTTTGAGTGTGAATGTATTCCACACTTAAGAGTTCTATGACAATTTATATAAATATAGAAATACCCACTATTTACACATGGCTACAGAATTATATGACAAAAATTGTCAAAGCGTTTGCTTTTTTTTTTTTGGTATAAGGAAATTTATCAATGGCATCAAAGGCAAGTCACGTTTCATTACATATTGAACAGGTAAGTTACACTAACAGGAAGGGACACAAATACAATCCTGGAGGAAATGGGATATGTGGATGCTCAACCCAAAGACTGACCCACTTGCCTACTTCCACGTCATCTCACATCCTTTCCATCCTGGGACACCACATTTTCTCACACCCGCAAAGGTAAGTTTTCATTTTAATAGATCTGAACAATATAGGTTAGTATCGAAACATACAAAGAATGATTTCTCCACAGTATACCATGTGTACCTCTTGTATGAATGTTGCGGTTATTGTGTTGTACGGTTTGGGGGCTGTAGGAATGATGACTCTACCAGGAAATTTTACCAGGTGACCCTTGAGGGAGAGGTAAAGGCTCAGCATCTCTCAGGGGACCCACTCTCTTAGGTCTAAGCTTCAAGGAGTCAAGATGTGGAGGCAAGTGGTCCTAGGTGGTGGCACCTGGTTATAAAGGTAGCTGTGAGCTCCAGGGAGCGAATTCCTGCTTGGGAGCCAGACCGAACACAATGTTGCTCTCTGTGTTTTTCACTTTTACTCTCTCCCAGACTTTGAAAGAGTACTCGCTTAAAATTCTTTTCCTTATATGGGGAAAATGCATAGTTGTGTGTCCAATCAAGTCACAGAGCTAAAGGAGAAATAATGTCACTTTGGTGTTGGTGGCAGCAAGGGAAAGAACATGTGTGAATTGCTAAGAGTAGCAATGAGGACCAGCTTACTCTACCATATATGCAGAGTCTCCTATTTTAGAGCTCAGGGTGCTTGGATTTTATTTTCATTAAGAAAGGTAGCAACTTCTATACAAGTACATGTATGTCTATAATTATAGACATATTCCACATTTTCAGTGATACCTATTTAAGAAGGAGAGTGGATGGCAGATGAAGAGGTGAAAGATGAATGCTTGGTGATTTTCAACGGAATGTGAGTGTAATATATGTATGAATTCCCTAAATATGTAAAATTAACACTTCAGCCTCAGAACTTCCTGTCTGCTGTACTAATTAGCTCTAAGAAAACACATCTCCCTTTATAATCAGGATACCTAGTATTTACCTACCTTTCCACGATTACCCTGGTAGGTTGCATGAGAAAAGCCACTTTTCTGACCCACAAAATGTGATGCGTCTGCCCTGCCCCATACAGAAATGGCATTAAGAGCAAGGCTGCATGGCATCATAACTGACACCCGCATAATGTACTTACGGTAAGGATGCTGCCAGCCTGGGGGAGAAAGACCTGGTGCTTTCAAATTATCATTGAAACTTGCTAGATAGAGATTTGTATTTTACGAGTCTATGATGGTAGGTATAACAATAACAATAAAATGGCACGAAGGACTTAAACAAATTGAATAACAGTGGCCTCGATGAAGTCAGAATAATGACTGCAAGGCCTATAGGAACTCTAAACTCTATAATGAACACATAGCATCTAGAAAATCCCCCAAGTTCTGAGTAAAAACTAATTTAAAAATTCGAGTATTAAGTCAATTGTACGTACTACCTTCATATAAAGATGCTTGGCAGTATGTTAATTTCTTTAAAGAGTCTGTAGTAGATACAAACTAAACATCTTAGAGCAAACTATATGAATAAGTAAATCAAGAAATACAATTTTAACTAAAATTATTGCTTCTATCTAAAAAAAGAAACTGAATAGACCCTTTAATTAATATATTATGTGGCTATTCTCCCAATAATAAATGATTTTTAACCATCAAATGAACTGACAAATGAAATCCTGAGAAAAATTATGGAATTATTAAAATGCCAAATAACGTCTTCTGGGAACAAACATGATAATATTCTCTTTTTCCCTCCCGCGTGAAAGAAGAATAAGCAGGTGCAAGAATTAAAACCCAGAGATACAAATGCAGAATGAAAGAGGAGAATGGTACTTACTGATGAATAGCTTGCAAGAATTTCCGTTGATGTTTTCTGACTTTTGCATGATCTATCTTTTTTACTAGCTTTGTATTTTTGTAAATTAGCCATGTTTCCCTGAGTACATTGGCAGCTGCGTTTTTCACCTGTTAGGAAAAGAAACAAACACAGCAGTTGATAAATTCCAGAGCAGAATCCTTTGCAACTTGGCTGGCTGTCATGCTCTTCATCCCAATGATCATGGTAAGCTCTAGCTCTGTTTAGTAACTGTATCTCAAAAAATTTTTTCTTGACTCTGTGCCTGTCTAAAAGTACCTGTATCTGTCTGGGAATGCTTACCTTGAAGTATGAGGGGCTAATGATCTCTTTCACGGCTAACTTCTACTCTAACTCTACCCCATGAGGAACCTTTCAACTACCTTTTCTTTTTTTTTTTTTAAATCAAGAGGTGCTGCTTTCTTCACCTTGTATCGCAGTTGCTCTCTCCATGTTCTTCGTTTTCCTGGAGAAAGGCAAAATGCCAGAAGGCCAAGGTTAACCCTGTCCTTTGCAAGCTTGCTCGGCATTTCTGGCTGTGCACTACAGGAAGGGCATGTTTCCCCTGCTGAATGTACAAGAAGACCCAGTCATCCAGCCTCCCAGGGTGACTTAGCAAATTGCTTGTTAGCGTACTTTAATCAACTGACAGAGAGTCTGTGTTGTCATGATTTTGTTGGTAATTTAAGTACACTGCCTTTCACATGGACAGGACAAACCTAAAGGATAGAGTCATGAAAGTAACACTGCCAAGACTTACTGCAGCTGATGGAAGGTGTGAATACTTCCTAGTGAGACTTCAATCACTTGCTTTCCTGACACTTTCAAGTCTTCAAAGATTCCTGCCAGTTGGTAAGTCCTCTTCCTTGCTCACAAGACAAGAACTGATGACCCAGAGCTTTCACTTGTGCTTGTTGTTAGCTACTTATTCTGGGAAGTTGAGTCATTTAATTCTTTTGAGTGATCGATAAAGGGTGTCTCACAAGGGGAGCTGCAGAATAGAGGGGGGCTGGGTGGAGGAAGACAACTTTTTAAAGACAGGCAGTGTGGTGGGGTAAGACAGAACAGTGAACTGGGCTGCAGAAATGGGTTCTAAGTTCTTGACTGTGGACCAACCAAGTCAGGTCAAGGAGACAAGCTAACCCGGCAGGATTTTAGTTTGCCCTAACATGAGAAGGTTAGAGAGAATTATTGTTAAATTCCTTTTCAGCACTTAGATTTACAATAAGGAAGAGTATTATAATTTACCAAAACTATGGCCCAAGTATGTATGTGTATTTTTTCACTTTAGCAGAGAAAACATCAGGTTGGGTGGCTGAGGGTGAACCCTTTTTCATGGTGCTGAGTTTTCTTTTTGAGTGAAATTGTATGGCTAGAACCCACTTTAAGAACATGGCTGGTTTCTGAAGACTGCTTTTAGTTGTGACTTCCTCTGTATATTCATTAGACTCTGCATGGAGAACATTCTCCAACCAAGAGAAAGACGAAACACGGGGTGTTGAGCACCAGCGGTGCGTGTAAGTGACTTGTCCGCAGTGAAGTTAAAAGGTGGTCCAGTGAACTCTTGCTCTTCGTTCTTATGGAATCATTTCTCTTCCTCACAAGGTAAGAGTCACCATTCAGAAGCCTCTTCCATCTGACACTGGTCTCCTTTGCAAAGGTAAGGAACTGGATGTAGTGTAATTTGCTGAGGTTGGAGGACCTTGCTTTTATTTTTAATTAAAACATTTTTATTTTATATCGGGGTATAGTTAGTTGATTAATAATGATGTGTTAGTTATGGGTGTACAGCAAAGTGATTCCGTTATAACCATTCAAGTATCCATTCTTTTTCAAATTTTTTTCCCTTTTACGTTATTACAGAATATTGAGCCGACTTCCCTGTGCTATGCAGTAGGTGCTTGGCGGTTATCTATTTTATAGGCAGTAGTGTGTACATGTCAGTCCCAAACTCCCCATCTATCCCTCACCCCCACCCTTTCCCCCTGGTAACCATAAATTCGTTCTCTAAGTTGCTGTTTCTGTTTTGTAAGTGTTTCTGTTTTGTAAATAAGTTCATTTGTATCATTTGTCTTTTAGATTCTGCATATAAGCGACATCATATGATGATATTTGTTTTTCTCTCTCTGACTACTTCACTTAGTATGATAATCTGCAGGTCCACCCATGTTGCTGCAAATGGCATTATTTCATTTTTTAATTTATGGCTGAGTAATATTCCATTGTTTATCTGTACCACATCTTCTTTACCCGTTCCTCTGTTGATGGACATTTAGGTTGCTTCCTTGTCTTGGCTACTGTAAACAGTGCTGCAATGAACATTGGGGTGCATGTATCATTTTGAATTATGGTTTTCTCTGGGTATGTGCCCAGTAGTGGGATTGCTGGGTCATATGGTAGCTCTATTCTTAGTTTTTTTAAGGAAACTCCATACTACTCTCCACTGTTTTACCAATTTATATTCCTGCCAACAGTGTAGGAGGGTTCCCGTTTCTCCACACCCTCTCCAGCATTTGTTGTTTGTAGACTTTTTGATGACGGCCGTTCTGACCCGTGTGAGGTGCTACCTCACTGTAGTTTTGATTTGCATTTCTGTAAATAATTAGTGATGTTGAGCATCTTTTCATGTGCCTCCTGGCCATCTGTATATCTTCTTTGGAGAAATTTCTATCTAGGTCTTCTGTCCACTTTTGGATTGGGCTGTTTGGTTTATTTTTGATATTGAGGCACATGAGCTGTTTGTAAATTTTGGAGATTAATCCCTTGTCAGTTGCATCGTCTGCAAGTATTTTCTCCTATTTTATGGGTTGTCTTTTCGTTTTGTTTATGGTTTCCTTTGCTGTGAAAAAGATTTTGAGTTTAATTAGGTCCCATTTGTTTATTTATTTCCATAACTCCAGGAGGCAGATCAAAAAAGATTTTGCTGCAATTTATGTCAAAGAATGATCTTCCTATGTTTTCCTCTAAGAGTTTTACAGTGTCTGCGCTTACATTTAGGTCTTTAATCCATTTTGAGCTTATTTTTGGTGTTAGTGAGTGTTCTAATTTCATTCTTTTACATGTAGCTGTCTAGTTACCCCAGCACCATTTATTGAAGAGACTGTCTTTTCTCCATTGTATATTCTTGTCTCCTCTGTCATAGCTTAATTGACCATAGGTGTGTGCGTTTATTTCTGGGTTTTCTATCCTGTTCCATTGATGTATATTTCTGTTTTGGGGCCGGTACCATACTGTCTTGATGACTGTAGCTTTGTAGGAGGACCTTGCTTTTAAAGAGAGAGGAGTGGGAAGTGACTAGCCAGCACTGCCTGGGGTTGGGACAGGCCCTTCCCTGCCAGCAAGGAGAAGGGCTGGCTACTGGAGGTCTCAGCTATTTGAGCAGATATACTGCCTGGAGGACTGGTAAGGGCCCTGGTATATCCTCCCTCCCTGGTTTTATCCGCTCAAGACACAGAGTAAGAACCTAGAACACAGACCAGCGAGGCACCGAGAAAACTGGGTAAGAAGTGATGAGACAAGAACACAGCAGTTCAACACAGCAATTAATTTTGGTTTGGATTCTCATCTAAAGTCTATAAAATTTTCAAAGGTGATCCAATGCTTGTCCTTAATGTATCTTAAATGATTCTTTTTCTTTGGGACGGTGGGGGAATGACTGCAAGGGTGTAGGGAACCTCAGAGTGTACTGCAGTGGGCGATAACCCCTGGACCTTATATTGTAGGATTCGTATTCACTAAACATGCAATGTAGATGACAGGCTGAAAAATAATTGACTCCTCATCTGAAAATGAAATCCCTACAACTGCTTTTAAGAACTGTGAAATATATCCATTTATGGCGAAACATCCCCTTTCTAACTAACTAACTAACTCCCTTTCAAATACAAATTCCCTTTGAGAGTAAATCTCTCAAAGCATCTTATTTAACTTATCCTCTACTGATAATAGTAGATTTTTTCCCTCGGTTCCTCATAGGGTTGAAAGGGAACAGAAGACAGGGTGGAAACACCTCAGTGTTTTACAGGTTTGAAGGACGGGAATTGTTACATGAAAATGCTAATCCAAACTTACAGGAAAAACAGGTGAGAGGAGAAGTAGGTCTGCGCATTTGTGATCATTGAGATGAAAGTTTATTTGCAGTTAAGAACTCTGCTCTATAGTCATGTAACAATGTAACTCTGGAGCCCCTGCTCCACTTTCCAGGGCATTTACAAAGTTTTAGAGGTCACGTCATTGTTTCTCCCTAGCTCAGTGCTTTTGGCATAGCTGGTACTAAAAAGTGTCTATGGTGTTAAATTTGGCACCACAGTAATTTGTATCATAAAAACTTCTAATCATAACCATAGATGCATATTTATCAACCAAAGGACCCTCCTGATACGAAGGGTGTACAGGTTTAAAGAAGAGACCTAGGATCTAAAGGGGACAGAGCATTTCCGTTTATTAATTCAACAAATTTATTGAGTCTCTATCACTTGCTAGATACCATGAGAGTTGGTACGAGGGATTCACAGATATCTCTCAATAATTAGTAGCTGTATTATATGTTGCCAATTAATGGCCCAGTGCTACTCTGAAATATAACTTATTTCCTCTACTTCACAGAACAAGGAAAGTGAAAAGTGGGCCCTTTCTTAACAGGAAACTTCTCTTCCTCTCTCCATTTCCTGTACCCCCAAAGACACACACAGGGAAAAAGGAAAATAAGAACATTTGTTCGACCTCACTAATTGACATGTACACACTGCTATATTTAAAATATTGATAGATAACCAACAAGGACCTACTATAGCACAGGGAACTCTGCTCAATAGTCTGTCATGACCTAAATGGGAAAAGAATTTGAAAAAGAATAGATACATGTATATGTATAACTGAATCACTTTGCTGTACATCTGAAACTAACACAACATTGCAATCAACTATACTCCAATATAAAATAAAAATTAAAAAAAAATTATGGGCTTCCCTGGTGGCGCAGTGGTTGAGAGTCTGCCTGCCGATGCAAGGAACACGGGTTTGTGCCCCGGTCCGGGAAGATCCCACATGCTGCGGAGCGGCTGGGCCCGTGAGCCATGGCCGCTGAGCCTGCACGTTTCGGAGCCTGTGCTCCACAAGGGGAGAGGCCCGCGTACCGCAAAAAAAATATTAGTGGTCAACTCAAATGCAAGTCTTTTATCAGAAAAATTTTGAAAGGCATAAAATAATCAGGAATATTTGAGAAAACAAAGGCCCTATAAGCCATTTATACTATTAAAAGTAGTAACAGTCACTAGATGCCTTCAACCCTCTTTCATAGGTATAAAGGACATGACATGTTATATTGCTGGCTCCTAGGTAAAATATATTTTTTATGTGAAACAATACTTTCTAAACCACAAAAGCTCTTAAAGCTGATTATGATACATACAATTAGAGTTATTTAGCAGGCTACTTTGTTTATAGATTTCCTTTGCTTTTTACTACTTTCTTTTTCTTCCTCTTGCCTCTCCCTTCAGAGGCTTTTCTGAGGCAGGAGAGTTTCTTGCCTCTCATTCTGATAATTACAGTAAAATGTTGCTCTATATGCTGTGGGTGATGCCTCCAGGATGCCTGGGGGACAAAGTCAAGGCCACTAAGCCTGTGCAGCTTAGTAGGACATCATGTGCTCTCACTGCCCCTGCAGCAGCGGGGCTGGATGTGCTCAGGGCACCAACCTTTCTTGCCAGCCCAGTTCTCCTTGAGACCAGGTACCTGTGGCGGGGTGAATGGAACAAGGCAAGGTCAAGGGTTCCATGCATTTATATTTTAACCCACTGGGATATGTAGCCAAGCAGGATATAAAAGTTACACAGTAAATCCTCTAGAATTTCTGTTCACTTGTTAAGAGATAGGCAAGAAACAAAATTACATAATTACATATAATTACATAATAGTGTTCTTATTATGGATCTTATTGAGAATTCTTAACAGGATTGGAAACACCCACAGTGGACATTAATATGTATAATTATCCTTCATGGTACATCTAGCGACTTTAAATATTATGCCTGGGTTCTCAAAGTTTCTTTCCAAAATGAAAGTAGCCAGAGAGCCAAACTCCAAGATTTCTTTTTGGTTCAAACCTGAATGAATAGTAATAATAATATATTTCCTAAAGCTTTAAGCATGGTAAACACATTGCGTCTGTAAGGTCATATGCTACGAATCGATTAAATAGCTGGTTCTGTCTTACTAAGCCTACTGATAAGTTATTGCTATTATGCTTTGATTTTGGAATCCTTAGATTATTTAGGTTACATGGACCTATTGGCCATTTTTGAATTGCAGAGTGCCATGTAAACTTTTGAAATTATATAGGACAATCCTCCATTAATGCTAGTGCCCAGTGAATTCTGTGTTCTACTTTCAAACATAGTATTTTATGTGGTTAATGTAGTCCCACAGAGAAATTATGATTTTTGTATAAAATTGTTCCTCAAACTTTGTACATGGTGGATAATTTTTCATGGACATTGTTCAGTTTAGTTAAAACACACACTGGAAGGCTTGGAAGGTTCCATTTCTTCCTGGAAGAATAATCTATCATTTAAAGAAAAGCAATATGAATGTTAAAAAAGTCATATTAAGATTTCAGAATGTCTGTAACCACTATTCCTGTTGCCCATCAAAAAACTTCGATGTAGTGTTTCAGGGGATATTTTCATTTTTAATCCGTCATCTTAGTAACTATGTATGGCTTTTAGGTCCTTGTTTATTCTTGGTTATTATCCAGAAATTATTTTAGTTTTTTTCTTCAAAAATTCCATAAATAATCAAATGGAATCAATGTATAAAATAATACAGAGAGAACCATAAAAGGGCTATTATTTTCATGTTATATTGAGTATAATAACGGAATGGGAATCATAAACCAGAAATTTATGTTTGATTTAAATTTACGTTTGATTTTAATGCCATTTTAACATTTGCTTTGGTACTTAGTGACATTTTGCCTATAAAAATAGACCTGTCATCAAGCCTGCTCGAGTGTCTTTCTCAGACCTATTAGAGACCCTGTTCGCAAGAAATACTTCAAAGTAGCTGCGCTTTTAAGCAATAGTAGTGAGATAACAGAATTAATTAAGCATCATAAGCATGATGGAGAATGTGACTTTTGAAACTAGAACAGTACTTTTTACTGAAAAAGCTTTCTACCAACAATATGACTCCTAATTCAACATCATCTACAGGGAGTTTATCAAATGTATACAAGAACTTACGACCGAAAAGCAGTAACATCAGAAAACCTGATGATTGGGGAAATGAGTTCTAGTCCCAAGAACTAAAGGAAGGTCATCTAGATCCATAGATCTTTTCCGCCAAGCAGGTAGAAACAGAACTTTCATCTGATTTACTGAAGGAACAGCATTATAAAAGCTTAAAATTATCTGATCCCTGGACTATAGCAGTTAACTCAGAACCCTGACTACATTAGGTCCAAGTATATTTTTGTGAAATGAATACATTATTCCCAGGAAGAAGATGACAATAAATTCAGGATGGTCAAAGAGTATCTGTTAAGGGGACTTGTCCCCGTCTCCAAATCTTTGGGGAACAACAAGCAAAACCAGTGGTTCTCACTGTAGACGTTTTGTCCCTTTAGGAGACATGTGGCAAAGTCTAGAGGCAGTTTTGTTGTCACAAGTTAGGGGAAGTGCTGCTGGCATCTAGCTTCTAGTGAGTGGAGGCCAAGGGTGCTGCCATACATGCCGCAATGCACAAGAAAGTCCCATACAACAAATATCCAGCCCAGAAGGCCAATAGTGCTGAGATTGAGGGACCCTCAGCTAAAGTAGCTAAACTGTAAAATCAACCTGGAGTGTCTCCTGAAAGAAACTGGGAGACTTCTGTGATTCTCACATACATCCTCATCAAAAGCAGTATACAACAATGTTGAATGGTAGATTTTTAATCAAAGCCCTTGTCTTTTCCAACTGCTAAAATGTTTCAATAATAAAGATATGGAATATCAATATCCCAAGGTAAATGTAAAGAAATTACTTTTTTTTCCTTCTCAAAATAAAACATTGGGAAATCTGTCTAAATGTGCTAAGTTGGTTTTTAAAAAGTTTTCATTATGTGGATTTTGTCACCAGTTTTTTTTTTTCTATTGAAAAGATTTATCAATACATGGATATATATGGATTATACGCTGTTGTAAGGTATTTTTCTACATAGTATCTTAAGTGTGGCATTAACTTAATTCCTGTGAAAACATAATCTTCAGGATAAAATTATCTGGATTATACAAGGGACTTTATGGAAGAGTTTTTTTTTGATATTGCACAACTTCTGATCCTTAAGATACACGAAACATGTGCTACAATTTTGGATTAGATGTGGACTAATAATGTAATGTGCACGTATTTTCGTTTCCTAGGATACCTTTGAGGGTTACAAGAACCCCAACCTTCAACTCAGCTCTTTTACCTCTCTCCTTCCACCCTCTGTGTGCTTCCCTGGAACATTTAGAAATGTTCACGAATTTAGAGAATGAATCCAGGAACTGAAGAAAATGAAACCTGTGTAAAGTAGAAGACATTCCAAAGTGGTAAATCCAGGTTGAAAGCATGGTGGCAACTAAGTGTCTTTGATCATCTAGAATTGTGTGGACCTACTAACTGCAATGAAGTCTCAAAATAGTGTCTGATAGATAAGATGTAGAGTGAGTAAACACACAACAATTAGAATGCTGCTTGAGACCTCTCTTGATTCTTTTATGGGTAAAGTATGACAATGTATTTTGTTATTTCAATGGCAGACCGATCAGATTCCATGTTGAGGAGTGGTTATATAGCAAGATGACTGCTGTAAAATAATTTTGTTATTTTGGTGTCTCAAGTGACTATGAAGAGAGGCTAAAAATTTAGCGTGATACAAATCTTTTTCTTTGTACATGGGCTACCTAGCCTCTGGGTCTTGGCTTCCACGTTTGTATAATGGCTATGAGCCTAGCACTTCACTCAGAAAGTTGTAAGGATGAAACAAGTGTGCCAGCCAGCGCTCTAAGGTGACATGCTTAAAGCAGTGGCTGGCACAGAGCGAGGGCTCTGTAAAACCTGTGATGACTGTTTTCTCCTGTCTGGACGCCATACCATTTTCCACATCTCTCTACCCCTACCTTGGGGTCCTAAAGGTAGTGGTTTTCTTTTGTCTTTGCAACCCCAGTCTTTACAACAGTGACTGTCTCCCAGAAGCTCAGTAAAATATCAGTTGAATCACCTTCCCGTACAATTTTTTATAATACACGGATGGTATATTCTTTCCTACTCAATCCAATATTGGTCTCCTCTTGCATGCTGCAAACTTAAATGTTAAGTATGCCTCTTTTAGCTTTATGTGGTTTATTTTTATACTTGAGTAAATACCAAGGTTTTCCAATTACTTCCTGACTGACCTAAAGTTAGGAAGAGTTTATTCTCAATGTGAAGAAATAGAACTGACTCCAAGAATGCCTTCACTTTAAACCATATCATTTCAGCTTCAGAGATCAAAGTAAAAACTATTATTGTCCAACACTGAAAGAAAACAGGCGCCCTGGACAAGATGGCAGAGTAGAAGGACCTGAGCTCACCTCCTCTCACGAAAACACCAAAACCACAACTAACTGCTGAACAACCATCAATAAAAAAGGACTGGAACCTACCAAAAAAGATATTGTACTTCCAAAGACAAAGAGGAAGCCACAACAAGATGGTAAGAGGGGTGCATTTGCCATACAATCCCACTGGGTGGGTGACCCACAAAGTGGAAAATAATTATACTGCAGAGGTTCTCCCACATAATCATATCACAGAGGTTCTGAGCCCCACATCAGGCTCCCCAGTCTGCAGGACTGGCATCAGGAGGAGGAGCCCCCAGAGCATTTGGCTTTGAAGGTCAGTGGGACTTGATCGCAGGAACTCCACAGGACTGGGGGAAGCAGAACTGCCACTCTTGGGGGATGCACACAAGGTCTTGTGCACACCGAAACCCAGGGGAAAAAGCAGTGACTTCGTTTAAGCCTAGAGCAGACCTACCTGCTGCTCTTGGAGGGTCTCCTGGGGAGGTGGAGGGGCAGCTGTGGCTCACTGCAGGGAAAAAGGACACTGGTGGCAGAGGTACTGGGGAGCACTCATAGGTGAGAGCTGTCTTGGAGGCTGCCACTTTTGATGCCAAGACCTTGCCCCACCCAAAAGCCTGAAGGCTCCAGTGCTAGGACACCTTAGAGCAAGAACACAGCACCACCCAACAGCAGACAGGCTGCTTAAAAGCTTCCTGAGTGCAGCTGCCTAAAAATACACCCCTTGATATGGCCCTGCCCACCAGAGGGACAAGACCCAGCACCACACACCAGTGGGAAGACACCGGAAGCAAGAGGAACCATAATCCTGTGGGACTGCAAACACAGACAGATAGACAAAATGAGATGGCAGAGGAATATGTTCCAGACAAAGGAACAAGATAAAACCCCCAAAGAACAACTAGGTTAAGTGGAGATAGGCAAGCTACTTGAAAAAGAATTCAGAATAATGATAGTAAAGATGATCCAAGATCACGGAAAAAGAGTGGAGGCACAAACCTAAAAGATACATACAGGAAATGTTTAACAAAGATCTAGATAAACAAAGAACAAATAACCAGAGATGAATAATACAATTACTAAAATGAAAAAACACATTAGAAGGAATCAGTAGCTGAATACATCAGGCAGAAGAACAGATAAGTGAGCTGGAAGACAGATGGTGGAAATCACTGCGTCAAAGCAGAATAAAGAAAAAGTAATGAAAAGAAATGAGGACAGTCTCAGAGACCTCAGGACAGCAGTAAATGCACCAACATTCACCTTATAGGGGTCCTAGGAGGAGAAGAGAGAGAGAAAGACCCTGAGAAAATATTTGAAGAGATAATAGCTGAAAACCTCCTTAACATAGGAAAGGAAACACTCACTGAAGTCCAGGAAGTGCAGAGGGTCCCATACAGGATAAACCCAAGGAGAAACACACCAAGACACATAGTAATTGAATTGACAAAAATTAAAGACAAAGAGAAACTATTAAAAGCAAGAAGGGAATCCCCATAAGGTTATCAGCTGATTTCTCCACAGAAACTCTGCAGGGAGTGTCATGATATATTCAAAGTGATGAAAGGGAAAAAGCTACAATCAAGAATATTCTATCCAGCAAGGCTCTCGTTCAGATTCAATGGAGACATGAAAAGCTTTGCAAACAAGCAAAAGCTAAGAGAATTCAGCACCACCAGACCAGCTTTACAACAAATGCTAAAAGAACTCTAGGTGGGAAAGAAAAGGACATAACTAGAAACAAGAAAATTACAAATGGGAAAGCTCATCAGTAAAGGCAAACGTACAGTAAAGGTAGGAAATAATCCACACACAAATATGATATCAAAACCAGCAAGTGTGAGAAGAGGAGAGTTCAAATGCAGGATACCGGAAATGCATTTGAAACTAAGAGACCAGCAACTTAAAACAATCTTATAGACTGCTATATCAAGACTTCATGGTACCCACAAACCAAAAACCTACAACAGATATACACACAAAAGAGAAAAAGGAATCCAAACACAACACTAAAGATAGTCATCAAATCAGAAGAGAAGAGAACAAAGGGGGAAAGGAAGAAAAAAGACCCATGAAAATAATCCCAAAACAATTAAGAAAATGGCAACAGGAACATACATATTGGTAATTACCTTAAATATAAATGGATTAGATGCTCCAAGCAAAAGACACAGACTGGCTGAATGGATACAAAAACAAGACCCATCTATATGCTGTCTACAAGAGACTCACTTCAGATCTAGGGACACATACAGACTGAAAGTGAGGGGATGGAAAAAGGTATTCCATGTAAATGGAAATCAAAAGAAAGCTGGAGTAGCAATTCTCGTATCAGACAAAATAGACTTTAAACTAAAAGACTCACAAGAGACAAGGAAGGACACTACATAATGATCAAGAGATCAATCCAAGAAGAAGATATAACAATTATAAATATATATGCACCCGATGTAGGAGCATCTCAGTACACAAGGAAAATGCTAACAGCCATAAAAGGAGAAATCGACAGTAACACAATAATAGTGGGGGACTTTAACACCCCACTTTCAGCAATGGACAGATCATCCAGACAGAAAATCATTAAGGAAGCACAGGTCTTAAATGACACATTATATCAGATAAACTTAATTGATATTTATAGAGCATTCCATCCAAAAAGAGCAGAATACACTTTCTTCTCAAGTGCTCACGGAACACTCTCCAGGATAGATCACATACTGGGCCATAAGCCCAGCATTGATAAATTCAAGAAAGCTGAAATCATACCAAGCATCTTTTCCAACCACAATGCTATGAGATTAGAAATCAACTACAAGGAGGGGGGAAAAAAAACTATAAAAGACACAAACACATGGAAGCTAAACAAGTGTTACTAAACAACCAGTGGATCACTTTAGAAATCAAAGAGGAAATGAAAAAAAACCCAGAGACAAATTAAAACATGATGATCCAAAAGCTATGGGACACCTTTAACAGAGAAGTTTATAGCAATACAATCTTACCTCAGGAAGCAAGAAAAATCCCAAACTAACAACCTAACCTTACACCTAAAGCAACTAGAGAAAGAACAAACAAAACCCAAAGTTAGTAGAAGGAAAGAAATCATAAAGATCAGAGCAGAAATAAGTGAAATAGAAACAAAGAAAACAATAGCACAGATTAATAAAACTCAAAGCTGGTTCTTGGAAAAGATAAACAAAGTTGATAAAGCTTTATTCAGACTCATCAAGAAAAAGAGAGAGAGGGCTCACATCAATAAATGAAATGATTGAAGTGAAAAAGGAGACATTATAATGGACACCAAAGAAATACAAAGGATCATAAGACTACTACAAGCAACTATATGCCAATAAAGTGGACAACCTGAAAGAAATGGAAAAATTCTTGGAAAGGTACAATCTTCCAAGACTGAACCAGGAAGCAATAGAAAATATGAACAGACCAGTCACAAGCACTGAAATTGAAAGTGTGATTAAAGAATGCCCAACAAATGAAAGTCCAGGACCAGATGGATTCACAGGCGAATTCTATCAAACATCTAGAGATGAGTTAACACCTATCCTTTTGAACCTATTTTGAAAAATTGCAGAAGGAACACTTCCAAACTCATTCTATGAGGCCATAATCACCCTGATACCAGACAAAGATGCCACAAAATAAGAAACTTACAGGCCAGTATCACTGATGAACATACATGCAAAAATCCTCAACAAAATACTAGCAAACTGAATCCAACAGTACATTAAAAGGATCATACACCCATGATCAAGAGGGATTTATCCCAGGGATGCAAGGATTTTTCAATATTTGCAAATCAATCAGTGTGATACACCACATTAACAAACAGAAGAATAAAAACCAAATGATCATCTCAGTAAATGCAGAAAAAGCTTTTGACAAAATTCAACACCCATTTATGATAAAAACTCACCGAAGTCACCAGAAAGTGTGTAGAGAGGGAATATACCTCAACATAGGGGCCATATATGACAAACCTACAGTTAATATCATACCCAATGGTGAAAAGCTGAAAGCATTTCCTCTAAGATCAGGAATAAGACAAGCGTGTCCACTCTCACCACTTTAATTCAACATAGTTTTGGAAGTCCTAGCCATAGCAATTAGAGAATAAAAAGAAATTAAAGGAATCCAAACTGGAAAAGAAGTAAACATGATATGACATGACACTATACACAGAAAATCCTAAGGATGATACCAGAAGACCATCAATGAATTTGGTAAAGTTTCAGGTTACAAAATTAATACACAGAAATCTCTTGCATTCCTATACACTAACAAACAACTGAAGGTCAGAAAGAGAAATTAAGGAAACAATCCCATTAACCATTGCATCAAAAAGAATAAAATACCTAGGAGAAACCTACCTAAGGAGGTAAAAAGCCTGTACTCAGAAAACTATAAGACACTGATGAAAGAAATTGAAGAGGACACAAACAGCTGCAAAAATATACCATGTACCTGGATTGGAAGAATCAATTACTGTCAAAATGACTATACTACCCAAGGTAATCTACAGACTCAATGCAATCCCTTTTAAATTCCCAATTTTCTGCAGTTCTAGAACAAAAAGTCTTAAAATTTGTTTGGAAACACAAAAGAACCTGAATAGCCACAGCAATCTTGAGAAAGAAAAATGGAGCCGGTGGAATCAGGCTTCCTGACTTCAGACTATACTACAAAGCTACAGTAATCAAGACAGTATGGTACTGGCACAAAAACAGAAATATAGATCAACAGAACAGGATAGAAAGCCCAGAAATAAACCCACACACCTATGTTCAATTAATCTACAATAAGGAGACAAGAATATACAATAGAGAAAAGACAGTCTCTTCAATAAGTGATGCTGGGAAAACTGGACAGCTACATGTAAAAGACTGAAATTAGAACTTTCTGTAACACTGTACACAAAAATAAGCTCAAAATGGATTAGAGACCTAAATGTAAGACCAAATACCATAAAACTCTTCCAGGAAAGTGTAGAACACTCCTTGACAAAAATTGCAGCAATATCTCTTAGGATCCACCTCCTAGAGTACTGAAAATGAAAACAAGATAAACAAATGGACCAAATTACACTTAAAAGCTTTTTCACAGCAAAGGAAACCATAAACAAAACGAAAAGACAACACACAGAATGGGAGAAAATATTTGCAAATGATGCGACTGACAAAGGTCTTAATCTCCAACATATACAAACAGCTCATACAACTCAACAAAAAGCCAATCCAAAAATGGGCAGAAGACCTAAGTAGACATTCCTCCAAAGAAGACATACAGATGGCCAGGAGGCACATGAAAAGATGCTCAACATCACTAAGTATTAGAGAAATGCAAATCAAAACTACAATGAGTTATCACACCAGTCAGAATGGGCATCATCAGAAAATCTACAAACAACAAATGCTGGAGACAGTGTGGAGGAAAGGGAACCCTCCTACACTGTTGGTGAGAATGTGAATTGGTGCAGCTACTTTGGAGAACAGTATGGAAGTTCCTTAAAAAGCTAAAAATAGAGCTATCATAAGATCCAGCAATCCCACTCCTAGGCATATATCTGGAGAAAACCATGGTTCGAAAGGATACATGCACCCCAATGTTCATTTCAGCCCTGTTTACGATAGCCAAGACATGGAAGCAACCTAAATGTCCATCTACAGACGAATGGATAAAGATGATGTGGGGGCTTCCCTGGTGGCGCAGTGGTTGAGAGTTCACCTGCTGATGCAGGGGACTTGGGTTTGTGCTCCGGTCCGGGAAGGTCCCACATGCCGTGGAGCGGCTGGGCCCGTGAGCCATGGCCACTGAGCCTGTGCGTCTGGAGCCTGTGCTCCGCAACGGGAGAGGCCACAACAGTGAGAGGCCCGCGTACCGCAAAAAAAAAAAAAAAAAAAAGATGATGTGGTATATATATACAATGAAATATTATTCAGCCATAAGAAAGAATGAAATAATGCCATTTGCAGCAACATGGATGGACCTAGAGATTCTCATACTAAGTGAAGTAAGTCAAAGACAAATACCATAGATGTCCCATACGTGGAATATAAAAAAATGATACAAATGAATTTTTTTTTTTTTTTTTTTTTTGCGTTACACGTCCCCTGCATCGGCAGGTGGACTCTCAACCACTGCGCCACCAGGGAAGCCCCCATACAAATGAATTTATGTACAAAACAGAAACAGACTCACAGACTTCGAAAACAAACTTATGGTTACCAAAGGGGAAAGGGGTGGGAGGGGATAAATTAAGGGTTTGGGATTAACATATACATACTACTATGTATAAAACAGATAAACAACAAGGACCTACTGTATAGCACAGGGAACTCTACTCATTATTCTGTAATAACCTATGTGGGAAAAGAATCTGAAAAAGAATAGGTATATGTGTATGTATAACTAAATCACTATGCTGAACACCTGAAACTAACACAACATTGTAAATCAACTATGTACTCCAACATAAAATAAAATGAAAATTTAAACCAAAGAAAGAAAAAACACTAATATTCCCCTTGGAGATACAAGGGTGGTAACTTACTCTTTTTGTCAGTTGAGTGTCCATCATGAAGTTGTGCACGTGCTTTTCTGCTTTGGTAAGTTCCAGCTTCCTTGCGACCACAGCTACCACCAGGGCTGTGCAACCAGCACCCTGAAAACCAGGAGAGAAAAGAACCCTGAAGAGTTATTATTTTTGGTCTCAAGCACATTAAACAATGTTTTGTACTAAGTACATTACTACAGTTTTTAATCTTCAGATAGTTATCAGTGTCTTCCATCAATATGACAGAAACTGCATGGCCAATACGAACAAGTAACATGCCTTTAGCTTGATGGTAAAAAACTTAAAATAGGTGAACTAAGAACAAATGTGTTTGTATCAAACACATTTTAATCAAAAGAAATAAATGGTAAAACAGCAACTTGCTGAATTTTCAGGGACTTAAAAACAGAGCAAATCAGTTATACATGGATATACAAACTAGTGATTAGCATAAATGCACAGAGAGGAAATAATTATTCTCTAAAAATAATATTCTATAATCTTCTGTGAAGATAAGACCAGCAGGTCTTCAGGGCAATCAACTGTGAAAAGCCAGGGATGGAAATTGATGCATTATGTGTACAACTTCAAACGTGTTCACATGCAGAACAGAAAGGATCACAGTGATCTGAACCTGGACAACAGACATACGTGAAGTGCTGAAGGTCAGGGATAACAGCCTTACTGTTCCAGAGGTTTACCAGCATGAAGAAAGGAATGGGCTACCTTTATTTTGAAAAACTCAACAGTGGTCCTTTTATGAATTATAGGCTATTGTGCTGATCTCTTAGGAAGAGTCGTGTGACACTGCATGGTGCCCCAGAGATTAAAGCCTTCCTGCTCCATGATCAAGGTGCATGCATTCCAAGTTGTGAGGTATGGGGTCTTCTTGGTTGAAAGACCAGTGACTACATGCAGGGTCAGGAGGCAAGGCTGGGGCACCTACAGGAGGGTCCAGGCGAGGAAGTCCAGATCTCCAGACAGAATCTCAACCTTGGGAGGACCACAGAGAATCAAGATTGCCTAGCCATCTCAGTAGGCAGACAACGAGCCACAGGGCACAGGCAGGACCCACAGAATAGGGCCGCAAACAATGAGACTTTACAATATATGGGGATCTTTCAACAGACTGGAATCCTTTTAAACTACTTTTAAATAGCATCCCTTTTATGTTAGCTAAGATGATTAGGATGCTCACTGTATAGCCATCCAAGAGTCTCAAATTCGCACAAGGTAACCTGGTTTTCCTCATTCCCAATAGGTCTCAAAATCATGAGTTATATCTAAGTTTGAGGGAATGGTTATTACTTATAGCATTTCCCTAATATATTATGAATATATTTTTATATCTATAATATTTAAAGACAATATGATATTTAAACAAGCAAGTCAGAAACTTGTATACATAATTTGCTCCTAATTTTATTTTTTAAAAGGAATTCATATTTGTGAAGCAAAGAAATAAGCCCAGCTGTGAAAAGAGCATCTCTCTCAGTGGTTGGAATACCAGTAAGTTATTTAGTTCTTTGTGCTTTCCCGAAGAGTCCACATTTTCTACAATGAATACATATTACTTATACAAACAAATGCTTACACATTTCAAAAATGACAACAGTTTGTAGTTTAAGAAAACGTCTAACCTAACCTTTACATATCTTTATTAACCTTAAAAAAACTCAATCTAGGAAAATGATCTTTCTTCGTACTTACTTTTGTTTTATTAAATAATTAATTATAATCATCTCCATTTGAATTGATAAATGTAATTCAGCCATTCAGTTACTAACCAAAGAAGGAATTTTTGGTCTCACTGAATGAGTTGTTGCAACAAATCTGGCAGGAGGGACAAGACTGAGGAGAAAGGGAGAAAATAAATACACTTGCCCTGTCTTGCTACAACCGGATAATTACAATCATAGAAACATGGCCTTATTAGTAAGTTGATACTGTTTAAATATAATATTTCCAGAGGGTTTAAATATCCCCTTCCACCTAGCTCTATGGAGAAATCAGTATCCTCAGAAATGAAGTGGTACTGATGATAGGATCAGAGAAAGAAGCCAGAAGGTATTAGACCTACCTGGTTTAACCTTCAGATTTTGGAGATGAGGCAATTAAGGCAGAGTAAGTGATTATTCAATTATGAACTCAGAGTAGCATTGGTATATTTCCCACCCTTTACCTCATCTCATAATACTTTTCTGTATATGTAAGATCACATATATTCTTACTTGTGGTCACTTCCATATTCATGACACAATATGAAGCACTGTATTTCAAAGCAAAACAAATACTCTTAGAGTATGAATGTTTAAAAATTGAGGAATATGGTTACCAAAATAAGGCAAAACATTATTCTTATTTTATAACTGGTGCAACTTTTAAATCAGTGTTTTTTAAACTTAAATGTGCCTAGAATCTTTTAAAGCTCTCCATGTGATTCCAACACAAAGTCACTGCTTTAAGTGAAGGATGATATGGAAAGGAAATGGCAAACTCCATTACTTACTTTCTCATTTAAACACGAGGTAAAGGTTCTTACCAGAGTCATTTCACTTATGAAGACATTCTGATAAACAAGGAGCATAAAGGAAGAGGACAGAGAGGACAAGGTCAGAAATGTATGGGCTGTGTGATAGCTATCTTGATATTTTGCGCTGTGTACAGACAATGAAAGCAAGTGATTTTTATGGCTGGATACCAATGAAAGAAAAGAATGGCCTTTGGAAGCATCTACACCTATTATGTTGACTTTCAGACACGTGCCGCAAAATCTAAATAAGTTACAGTATACTGATGAGAGGCTCGCCTGAATTGGTGGAAGGAATCAGTGGCCACCCAGGCTAGCCTTCTGTACCTACCCACAGTGTGATGGCATTTGTTTGACAGAAACGGGATCACCTGTTGTATGTAGGCTCCCAGGCATTCCTCGATCAGTGAGCCAAGGGAAAGTCAAGAGCTTTTTAATAAGCAGCAGATATAAAAATCTGAGGGGCTTCTACCACTGGAGAGATAGCTATAAGTGGCAGTTGGCACTATAAGCTGAATATTGTTCTCCTTTGGCAGGAGGCCACTGCTGCAATTCTTCTGGAAAGAAATCAAAATCCCAACAGGAGTGGAAAATCACTGGTATCAAGAGCCTTTGGAAGTTGATTTTTTATTTGTGCTTATTCTTGAGTGATATTTTTTCCCACTGCCAGCCCATTTCTTGCTGAGTGTTCTCTAGCTCACCAAAGTCTTGTGTATTAAATGATTACCTCTGTTGTAAACTAGAGAAGCAAGTGAATCTGACAGTTAAGTAATTAGTGAAACCATTGCCTATATCCCTCACTCCATTATCCTAACTGTACCCTTTAAATTGTACCCCAAGAGCCACTTAGAAACCTCTTTTTCTTCAAAGTCCATTACTCCTTATATGTAAGTCTTATACCTCCCCAGGTTCTTAATAAATCATAAGAAGATTTGATATGTATAGAATCGGGTTTCAAAAAAGTAACTTAAAAAAAAAAACTTTTAGAGTTATGCAAAATGAAGCTGGCTTACCCCTGAAAGGTGCAAGGTACGTTCCTGCCAACACATTAATTGTTATAGTAATTTAAGTAATGGCATGATGTTATTGTCCACTCAGTGTCTATTTCCTGGACTATTCTGTTCCATAAAATGAATAGAATGAAAGTAAATATGCTTTTACAACATTTTCTCCAAATCTTGTCATGATCACAATGGATATAGAAACAGTTGGGACTAACATATGTTATTCTCTGAAATTAAGATCCCTGCATGCCTTTAACAAGATGAGTCATAGTCCTTTCACCAAAGTCAGAAAATGTATCCTGGTTACTTTTCTCTCATTTCATTTATGTTATTAAGAAAAAGCTAAGCAAATCACTAACTTGCCACTTCAAGATGCTCAGACAACGAAAAACTAAATAAAAAACAAAACAAAACATGGTGTTTATGACGCCAATACATTAAAGTCAAAGGTTTAGGTTTTCCTTGGCTAGTTTATCATCTTTCCTTCTAACAAATTAGATGTTGCAAGAGAGAGAGGAGGAGTGGGGGAGAGAGGCCTTGTCCTTAGAAAAGATAAGTAAGTATTAATGCTCGTTGTGCCAGATCAAAGTGAACAGACAAATGACAATCAGAACGCATAAGCTATAGTTGAATCCCAACACCTGGAGAGTCTTAGATGCTGCCAAATTAAAATGCAGTGCCTGCATAGCAAATGAAACTGTAAAACAAAAGACAATCTACAGAATGGGAGAAAATATTTGTAAACAATGCGACCGACAAGGGCTTAATCTCCAAAATATACGAACAGCTCATACAACTCAATATCAAAAAACCAGGGACTTCCCTGGTGGCACAGTGGTTAAGAATTCACCTGTCAATGCAGGGGACACAGGTTCAAGCCCTGGTCCGGGAAGATCCCACTGGCCATGAGCAAATAAGCCCATGTACCACAGCTACTGAGCCTGTGCTCTAGAGCCCACGAGCCACAACTACTGAGCCCACGTGCCTAGAGCCCATGCTCCGCAACAAGAGAAGTCACCACAATGAGAAGCCCGCGCACTGCAATGAATAGTAGCCCCCACTTGCTGCAACTAGAGAAAGCCCATGCACAGCAACAAAGACCCAATGCAGCCAAAAGAAAAAAAAAAAACGACTCAATTGAAAAAGTGGGCAGAACACCTAAATAGACATTTCTCCAAAGAAAACATACAGATGACCAAGAGTCACATGAAAAGATGCTCAACATCACTAATTATTAGAGAAATGCAAATTAAAACTACAATGAGGTATCACCTCACACCAGTCAGAATGGCCAAAAAGTCTACAAATGACAAATGCTGGAGAGGGTGTGAAGAAAAAGGAACCCTCCTACACTGTTGGTGGGAATGTAAATTGGTACAACCACTACAGACAAGAGTATGCAGGTTCTTAAAAAAACTAGAGTTGCCATATGATCCAGCAATCCCATTCCTGGGCATATATCCACACAGAACTACATTCAAAAAGATACATGCACCCATATGTTCACAGCAGCACTATTTGCAATAGCCAAGACATGGGAACAGCCTAAATGTCCATCGACAGAGGAATGGATAAAGAAGATGTGGTGTGTATATATATATATATATATATATATATATATACACACACACAATGGAATATTACTCAGCCATAAAAAAGAATGAAATAATGCCATTTGCAGCAACATGGATGCAACTAGAGATCATCATACTGAGTGAAGTCTGACAGAGAAAGAGAAATACTATATGATATCACTTATATGTGGAATCTAAAATATGGGACAAATGAACCTATCTACAAAACAGAAACAGACTCACAGACATAGACATCGGACTTGTGGTTGCCAACGGGGAGGTGGGGAGGGAGAGGGATGGACTGGGAGTTTGAGTTTAGTAGATATAAACTGTTACATTTAGAATGGATAAACAACCAGGTCCCTACTGTATAGTACAGGGAACTATATTCAATAACCTGTGTTAAACCATAATGAAAAAGAATATGAAAAAGAACGTATATACGTGTATAACTGAGTGACTTTTGTACAGCAGAAATTAGCACAACGTTGTAAATCAACTCTACTTCAATAAAAAAAATAAATTAAGATGTAGTGCCCTTCTCTGTTGTATTCTTCTCTAATATAGCACATACAATGAAAGCCATGTCGGTCCCTAGAATTTAAAAGAAGTTCAAGCAGCTCGTTTTCCCCAAGATCATTCATCACACAGTGTTTGAAAAATTCAGAGAAGTGACATATTTTTACTTTAGATCACTGGTGATGCTGATCCTACTAACACTTTTAAGAATGATTTTGAAATACCACTTTGGGATCAAGCTTTAATAACTTAATACACAAGGCTTGGAGAGGGAAATTCCTTTAATAGCACACCGGGGAAAGGTTTTGATTCTTTTCTTATTTAAAAAAGCATCTGCCAAAGATTCAACATAATAATAATAAAATTTATAATTTGGGGGGAAATTCCAGAATACTCACCATCACAGAGAAGCACTCTGCCAAAAACTGCTAAAGTTCCAATTATTCCAGTGTTAAATTAATTATCATCCTGGGTCTTACAATAGCTCCTAAAAGGCCAAACTTTAGTTTGATAGCTGATTGATTGCCTATCACTAATGACAATTTCTTAACATATTTTGAAAAAATCATGCTTTCTACTGAAAATGCACCTAAGTTAAAGATTAACTTGCATTTTAAAATATTAACTTGTTCTTCAAAGGGAAGGTAAAATGAGTACTTGAAAACATTACCCAAGTTTTTGTCCCTGGGGTTGACTGATTCAATATCCTAGAAAAATAAATACCTTTTTTAGTGCACTTGCCTGACAATTATTCTTTCATAAAGATACATAAAACAAGCATTTCTGGCAAGTAAGAAGGATTCTATAAAACATTCAGCTTCACTATAATATCCCATTGGAGTTTTACAAGATCTCTTTAGGTTATGAAAATAAACAACATTCAAGATAACTTTGAAGATAAATTCCCTCTGAGTATCTTCAAATACAGTTGGCCCTTGAACAAGAAGGGGGTTAGGGATGCCCACCCTCCTTGTTGTTGAAAAGCCGAGTATAACTTACAGTGGGCCCTCCATAGCTGTGAATTCAATCAACCATGGATTGTGTAGTACTACAGAATTTACTACTGAAAAATATCTGCAATAAGTGGATCCAGGCAGTTCAAACTGGTGTTGATCAAGGGTCAACTGTATTGTTGATAGGAGGGCAGAGGTCAGTTAAAACGTTCTCATCCTAAGGAAGAGGGGAGAAGGTGTGTGTGGGTTTTTGAGTTCAGTGATAAAACCTGGGTTTAGGAACCCCAACTCTCCTTTAGAGTCATTTGCTTGTTTAGCTCCTTGTGTGCTCTGGTGGCTGGAAAGAGGAAGTGGTACATAAGACGGGTCATTAACAATGAGTCATCCTCAGGTTTAAATCTCCTTATTAGCAATGGTGCCAATGTGAGCGCACGCGTTTCAGAGACAGGAAGGGCAGCTCTGCCAATTCAAAGTGCTGATAGTTTAGAAAATGTAGGTGGAATTGTAGAGACAATATGAGTCGAATACTAGAAGGTCACAACAACTTTCAGCTATATTTGCCTGTACCTGGAAAAAAGCAGCTGTCTTATTTCTTCAGAAATTTTCTTGGGGAGAAGTGAAGGTCTGCTTAGGGCAATGGTGGGGAATTTAGCTTTAGGACTGAAAAGGCCCATCATCCCCTCCAGCTGCTCTGCACAAAACAGAAATTATGCTAAGAATTTAAAGATACGCTCTCTTCAGTGAGGCTTTATTTGATGAGATTCAATGAACATGCCAGAAAGTACCAAAAAACAAAAAGTAAGGTAAAAACCTCTTCAAGGTTATTATTTGATATTAAACACCTCATATCAAATTGTACAAGACATATAAAAGATCCTGAGATTTTTTTTTTTCCTTATTCACACATGCAACACCAAGGAATGGCTCTAGTCTAGTTTTTCAGGGCTCCTACTTCTACTGGCAGGGTAAAAGTAATCCTTAAATGCAAAGACAGGAAGTAGCAGGAATATAATCATACTTTAGGTTTAGCCTTCTTTAATACCAGTCATTCTCTTACTATAAGCTCTGGCTAATTTATGGCTCTCTTTTGGAATATCTTCTGATTGAATTAACACGGTAGTGTTACTACCCTTCAGGGTGAAAACTACTGAACTCTGACAATTGACTCAGATGCCATGTGACCTTAAATCAAGACTCTTTGATACCTGGTAAATTTGATGATGACAATTATGAAGTGTTCTTATCCTAATGTGGTGTAAAAAAGTGATCACTGTTTTATTTTTGCTCCCTGAATAAAATTAAAAAAATTAACTGGTGTGATTTTTAAATTATTACAAAGTGGAAAACCTTTATGCATTGCTTTTGTTTATACAGAATTACTGATGGGATGGAAGAAGCTTAAATTGGTCATATCTGAAGTCACCTCACTTTTGTTGAGGAATACATAGTGGACTTGTTGAAATCTAGGGTTTACAGGTCACTATCAGTAGAGGACCACTTATCAGATAATAACCAGTATCCCTAGGACTGTGCAGATATTACTCCATATTTAAAAATAATTTATGCCGGGCTTCCCTGGTGGCGCAGTGGTTGAGAGTCCACCTGCCGATGCAGGGGACGCGGGTTCGTGCCCCGGTCCGGGGGGATCCCACATGCCGCGGAGCGGCTGGGCCCATGAGCCATGGCCGCTGAGCCAGCGCGTCCAGAGCCTGTGCTCCACAACGGGAGAGGCCACGACAGTGAGAGGCCCACATAACACAAAAAAAAAAAAAAAAAAAAAAAAAAAATAATTTATGCCAAAAAATGCAGTCATCCATACTCTAAATAGTTAAAGGGCCAACAGGAGATGTCATAATTTTACAAAAGTAGAGAAGCAAAAATTAAAAATGAATGATTTTCATTTTAATATAAGACTAGAGATGCTCTTACTAATGAGGCTGTATTCTACTCTTGAAACAAACATATATACCCATAGGTAAGGAAAAATGATAGCATTCAGCTTGTGTTGTATCTTTTTTTTTTTTGTGGTACGCGGGCCTCTCACTGTTGTGGCCTCTCCCGTTATGGAGCACTGGCTCCGGCCGCGCAGGCTCAGCGGCCATGGCTCACGGGCCCAGCCGCTCCGTGGCATGTGGGATCTTCCCGGACCGGGGCACGAACCCGTGTCCCCTGCATCAGCAGGCGGGCTCTCAACCACTGCGCCACCAGGGAAGCCCTTGTGTTGTATCTTTATGTACAGATATAAAATGGTAGATAGGGTAACTTTTTAAATGCTAAGCAAATCAATTACTTTATTATAAAGTTGGAGATACTGAGAAACTAGCTGGTACTGACAAAAAGCTAAGACACCATGATGTAACACTGTTATTTGCCTGCCTTCAACCAAAAGGATAAAGCCATTTAAACTTCATCCCAGAGTTTATCATGACATCCAAAACAATAAATCCTCAGCACCTCCTCAAAAAGTGGAAGGATAGGGGATCGGAATCAAGATGGTGGAGTAGTAGGACATGGAACTCATCTCTTCCCACAAATACATCAAGAATACATGTACAAATGGAACATTTCTCACAGAACACCTACTGAACACTAGCAGAACACCTCAAACATCTGAAAGGACAAGAAAGATCTCCAAGTAATGGGGTAGGACAAAAGGGGCTGTGCAATTTAGGAAGCAGAGCTGAAATCTTTGCCCACGGCTATGCAAACTGCAGATTCACACCTCCGCAGCTGGCTTTGTAA